TCCATGCCACGCCTTCTTATAGTTAATCATATAACCATAACGACTTGCAATGTCAGCGATTATGACTTTCACCTTTAGGTCTGGCTCTTGCTCAATTAGATGCTTGATAGCCGCAGCAACCACCCTGGATTTCAACTGTCGATGGCCTTGGGAAGTTATGGATGACACACATGTGTGTGTGTTCACCGCACGGGATATGACCCAGCAACCGTGTCTCTTGCTGTTGATGGCCCGAATCCTAACATTGCACCCCTCGTGATGATTACGGCATCTGACTAAGAGCCTTTTAGTGTTGGAATGAGTTGTGAGCCATTCAAAATGCCGAGTCATTGCTTCTGTCTCAATGGCGTGATGCACATCCTTCTTCGAGCCAAATTGTTGGCCCTTCATAAACCCAGTGAGTGGACCCCATATTGGGACCTCTGGCGGCTCCATGTCGCTGTCGACCATCCAATTGTCGTCTGGAATGTGATTGTAGTAGGGGACTGGTACACGGTCACGAGCCCCCTCATCATCATTAGCTGAGTCTGACTCTGGTCCGGAATCATCGGCACCTTCAAGAGGGTCGGAGCTGTCTGCACTGACGTTGTTCTCTCCTTCTTCATCGGAGGGGTCACTGACTGGTGCTGCCATGACATCCTCCATCTGATCCAGCTCATGAAAGGCACCTTCATCAGCTCCATAATGATAGTTGTGAAAACTACCGCTGCCTGAGAGGAAGTTGTACTGAGGTTTGTTGGGCCGGTCCGGTTGAACTTCTTCTTCATATGATTGATGATGACCTTCACCTTGCTCTTGGTACTGAAAATATGAATTAGGATCATGGTAACTTTGGTAGGGATGATCCCCATAGTATTCACCTCCACCATGGATACCAGATTTTTGACCGTGTCCAGAATGACCTCCAACGCCTACGACCGGCTCGGTGTAAACGAACATCTCGGCTTTGGAAAGATTGTTGGACCTCATGAATTCGAGCATGGCGTCTACCCCATCCTGAGTGGTTATGAGATATTCCTCATGCCACAATGACCCACTTTCTCTGTTTGGATATCGGTACACCATACGATCAACTTTTCTCGTGCCATCCATGCAAGTAACGTTAGTGCACATTTGATGGAGGTCTTCAAGCAGCGGTCTGGTAGCGACCTTTATCTTCTGAAAATTGCCACCTACGTAGGTGGCACCCTTTACGGTCTCTTCCGTGTAACCATTCCACCGTAAGCCAAGCGTGAACTTTTGGAATGCCATCTGCGATAAAACCGTAGTTAAGTTAATATCATAAAAATCAAAAATAAAAATTAACAATAAAAAGTAATACTAAATCAACTTACGAGTTAACGTTAATCGCAAAACTACTAGAAATATAGAGCTACAACAGAAAATTGAAAAGGGAAGGGAGAAGGAGAGGTGTGAAGAGAAATGGTTGTCCGGGAGGCCTTTTATAGGCAAAAGCTTGATGAAAACCGCACCTTAGAGATGCGATTTTCGTCTTCCATGCAGGCCCATGCAGACCCACGTCTGTAACGTCTGTATGGATGTCGGATATTGATTGACCAAAACCGCACCTTTAAGGTGCGGTTTGCATGTTAAAATCGCATCTTCATGGTGCGATTTCGTCTGGCAGAACCAAATCGCATCTCGGCCATGCAATTTTACTAGGTCAGACATAAAATCGCACTTTGGCCATGCGATTTTAGTAGGTCAGACCTAAAATCGCACCTCGGCCATGCGATTTTATTAGGTCAGACCTAAAATCGCTTGGCTAAAGTGAGATTTGATTCCAGATTTTTGGAACGTACTTGTAGGGTGCGATCTATATTTAAAACGCATTTATAGGGTGCGATTTATATGTAAAACGCATCTACAAGGTGCGTTCTATTAAAAAGGGTGCTATTAGTGGAAATTTTTACGGATGGGTGCTATTTTTGTAAATTTTTTTTTAAAGGTGCTATTTCTGGAAAAATCCCGCATGCACCGTTGTCTTCCTTTCAATCTCTGTTCTCTTCGTCATTTCCGGCAAGGGGAAAGTGAATGACGAGGGTAGATTGGGATCTAGGGTTGAGAGAGGATGGCTTGAGGAAGTCTTTTGTTCCCTTTTGGTCGTTGTTCCGATAGCAGAGAAACGCGAGCAAGAAGGATCGGGGTGACTGGATTTGGTTTAGGGGTTCGATTTGCTCTCACGAGTGAAAGAAGAAAAGAGGAAGGGAGAGAGCTCAGCGGCGCTTAGTTTACAAATTGGGAATTAGTGTTTGTCTCTTTGTTTAAGGTTAGTTTATATACCCGGTGACCAAATTGCCCTTCTTTTTTCCATAAAACTACCCTTTTGCCCTTAGCTCTCTCTTTTTACGAAAAATGCAAAATAATCTCCTACATCAAGTCTCGAACCTGAGACGCAAACTAACTTCTCGCCTCAAGTCAGTGCAATTAGTAACTAAGCCATACCTATTATGTAAATATTAATATATGGATAACCAATGACCTACCACATTAGATGCTCACTTGGGAGTTACATGTAACCCCTATTTCTACATTATTATCTCTCATTCATATGCATTTATATAAGGATGTAGTGGTTACCAAAGTGTGCCTATAAATATAGCACACCATTGTATCAAAAGTGAAGAATGAATAAGAAGAACTCTTCCCCTCTCTTCTCTTGTGTCTTTTCCTCTCTAATCTTCTCTTGTAGTTGTTTATATTTTCATTAGTTTCATAACACCATCATACTTGGAACTCTAATCTTCTTATATCAATTTATTTATGTTTAAGCTTAATACGCAATATTTGTATCAACTAATCGTGCTAATATTGTTGCTTTAACCAAATTATGTCTGCCTCTAAATATTTCAATATATTAAAAAATTTAGTTACCACATTTGCTCTGGCTTCATTATTCATACACATACTCGTTTTACTTAGAAAATCTCTTAACACGAATCATGGTCAATAGACCACGATAGTCACTCTCGATGAAATCATTTAAAAATTATCTTACCACTCAACTACTAGGTTGAAACGTGATAAATACATTTCCTAACTATTCAAATTGTAATCTTAATCACGATCATTAGAACGTTTTAAGATCACATCAAATCACACAACTCAACCGAACTACGTGGACTTTCATCCCGACTACTCGGGTACATAGGTAACCAATAGGTTTCAGGTCAAACTAATCAAAAACATTTTCTCCAAATTTCAACGTGTGAGACTCAATATTTAAAATCTCTCAATTTCGAAAGAACTACGTGGACTTTGAACCCGACTAAGTCGGGTACGTAGGCAACCAATAGGTTCGACTCCAACCAATCTAAAAACTATTTTTACGTCAGTAGATGTAAAAATTACCAAGTAACTACAACAATTCAAAATTTACGTTAATCATATCGTCCAATTGGACTCTAAAAATACACCTATAATTATTTAAAATAATTTGGCTAATACCACTAGAAAACCCGAACTATTAAGAATGTCATTTGTAGCCTAAAGTATCCAATATGACATTTGTGTCCCAATCTATTATAGTTTTGTGTCATTTATGTCACAACCTATTATAGTTTTGTGTCATTTATGTCCTAACCCGAACTATTAAGAATGTGCCATTTTTTAAATACTAACGGTCAACGCCGGTCAACTCTAACGGAAAAATAGTTTAGGACACAAATGTCATATTGGATACTTTAAGATACAAATGATACATTCTTAATAGTTCGGGTTTCCTAGTGGTATTTGAAACACCCTAACCCGGCCGGGTACTACTTTTACTAAAATGCCCTTGATAAATAAAATGCTCAAATCTTAAATTTCAGCGGGAAAAATTTTCATAAATAAAATACTGAAAACACACACTTGTAGCTCAGAGCAAAGCCCTAACACGTGGGCAAATTAAACTCAAACTTTAAAATCTCAATCTGATCTCCACTCTATACTCATAATCACAAATGTAAATAACTAATAATCTCTAATGTTGTTGCTACTGAAAACCTTGACTAAGCATCCTCCGTGACGCTTATACTGTCCTCCTCTAGCTGGCTGCCATCCAGCTCGCTGCTTACTAACTGCTCCTCCAGCTCCTCCTCTAGCTCTTCAAACTGGTGAGTGAGATGGGGTCAGTCTACGCCCTTACGTTTTAATACTTCTAACACTTGAGTACTTTACTTAAACACTTAACTTTAACTAGTGGAAGTTATTTGTACTTCCAAACTTAAAATCTTAACTCTTAAACTTTGAGGGAGTTGGAGTTACTCTCCTCTCTTAAAACTCAAATCTTGACTTAAATACTTGACTGACACGGGGATCTCTCACTAGCTAGTCCGGTTGCCAACTCATACGTATGAGAAGCCATTCAGGCTTTCCTTAAACTTAAACTTAGTTAGGGAAGTCGTAACGATTCATCCCCCTAACATCTTAAACTTATCGTGGTGGCTCTTCACCACGATTCTCAAGAGCATAACTGCTGCTCATCTTAAAAGTCTCAAGAGCATAACTGCTGCTCTGTCTCAAAGATCTCAAGAGCATAACTGCTGCTCTATCTAAAAATCTCAAATGGCAACAGAATGGCGCTAGTGACTAAAAACACTTAAAACGACCTCACCTTCTTGAAGGTGAATTACTTCTTAAAAAAGACCTTGTTTCTTAAACTTTAACAATAACTTATACTCATAAAATTTTCAAGGTAAATAATAACCATTCACTTCAAGTCATAAGTCAAACATGGCACATATCATCAACCATAATCATAAGCAAGCACACAATTTCACGTAAAACAACTTCTTAAACACGCAAGGTAGATACTTAAAAAAAATATGTAAGGCGTAGAATTTACCCCGTTTATACTCACCTTTCCTCCGTTCGTAACTGGCTCTAAATTTGCTCCACTCGCTTCCAACTTATTCGTACTTGGCACAATTGGAAGGAGCAGCTTGCTTGGCACAATTGAAATAAAATGGACCAGCTTGCTTTATTTTCGTTTGGACCAGCTTGCTTGACTATCTTCTTTATTTTAGACCAGTTTGCTTAAGGTAGAGAGGGCAGATTTGTGCCGACAGTAAGGCAGCACCTACTCTATATTTTGGACCAGCGTAACCTAGCACCTCTCCTGAGGGCAGATTTACGGCGACCTCCCTCATTAGCAACCCTGCTTCTTCATAGACAAGAGCCTCCTGCCTGCTTCCCCCTATTGAGCTCCCTCTACTGAGCGTCCCTGGCGCCTCCTTTCTGCCTATGCCTGTCCCTCTCGAACTAGTAATGCCGGGTCTTATCTCTGCCACGCAGTCCCTCCGGAGGCACGTATCGAAGGAGAAGAGGAAGAAGCGGGGATGCTTTGCTTTCACATTGACGATCATTGCTCTGACGGACAAAACGGCCAGGAGCTTGCTTAGGCACACAGCTCTCATAGTAGGGAGAGTAACTCGGAGATCAAGCCGCCGCCGTGCTCAAGCAAAGTAATTCGGATCATTGACAACGGCAACAGAACGGCCATGAGCTCGCTTAAGAATGCAACTCTCGTAGTGGGGAGAGTAATCGGCCGATTTGCTTTACTACCTCAGGTCCAGAGAATTGTCTCGGAGATGGGCTAACCACATAGCTCTGTAGGGAGAAATAAAAAGCTGCTTTATTAGGGTTTAGGGTGATGCCGAGTAGGGTCTGGTTAGTCAAAGGGGTTTTTTTTGGAATTTCACAATTACAGGTGACTTTAATCTGAAACTCAAATAACGTCCATAATTTTCTCACTTCATATCGAAACTCGACCTCGTTTGAACTATTAGTTCACAATTTTAATTCACATCGACGATACGGCGGAACTTGACCCAGGGGTATAATAGTCATTTTGACTTTTAGTAAGAGCGGGGTGTAACATTTTCTCCACCCTTATAAAAATTTCATCTTCAAAATTTGATCGAGCTCATCCTTCCATACTCCTCATTCTCATGCTTCTTTGGGTCAAGATTTCACTCTTGCTATATGAACTTTAAGGGCGTGCCCTTACCCTGTCTTAAATAGCTTACTATAGTTCTTATATGTACTCATGAACATAACAGGTATTCTCACCTAGCTCGGTAGCACCGCTTTTTGGAGTTTTGCTCGTTGCAACTGCCTTCTGCTCCTCCTTTCCTTTTTAGTTTTCTTTTTGTGTTCTATTGGAGTAGAAGGGTGCTGGAAGAGAAAAATACTCGGCCATGAGCAATAATACCCGGCCGGGTATAATTATGAGGAGGCCGGGGAATATTAATTTTGGGAGCCCATAGTCTAGAAGGGGCCCCGGGCGTTGAGCTTAAATCCCCGATCAGGTATTCTTGACCTTGATCGGGGATTAATCCTCTGTATGAAGCGGTTCGTTACAAAATTCCAAAGCCGGTCACCTAAAATACCTGACCGGGGATTCTGACCGGGCATCGCGAATGGCAGCTTCTTAAGTGAAAAGAAGGGCAAAGTTGATGGGGTTCCGAGTTTTAGAGAAAGAAAGTGACGAACATTATTCTTCAAGCGCCTTAGATCGTTCTTCATCACCATTGGAGCCCGGCTTGAGCTTCGAGAAGTGCTGATTTATTGCCAGAAGCAGAATCTCATCCTTAATAGTATGGTTTCCGGGTTTGAGCTAGATTTCCCGTCTCTCTCTATGGAGTAACTTTCTCAGTCACCTGGGTATGAAGAACCTAGATTTGTATGTTAGGTCTGATTGCATGAACCCAAGTACAGATTCTATGATTTGATTATATTCAATTGAGGTTTGATTTGTTGAATGGCATGAATCCTGATCAAATTCCTATTGTTTCTGCTTTGACCTAGAAAGAGAATATCTGCCTAGGTTGATAGAGCACCCTTGATTGACGGTAGTGAATTGACAACTTTAGTCGAGGAGTCAATCCACTATCCTGTACCAGAGTTACTTCGGTAGTGGAGGTTTGGTTCGTTAGGGACTCAATCTATTTACTCCGGTGGAGGTTAGTCGAGACTGCATAAGAACCTCTTGCAGTTTAACTATTATTGAACTTGAACTTGGTAAATTACAACCTGGCTTAACTGCAGTCTAGGGGGAACCATATTCGGGTGACCTCTTTCAACTTGAAAACAACTTTTTACTACTTTGCTTGTTTGCTTGTTTGGACCTTCAGTACACTTTCACTGCTAAATAATAAGAATTCACGGAGTAGTCATCACACTTAGGACCCGGGTTGACATTAAAACCCAAACCCGCTATACTACGCTTTAGTAGGTGGTTACACTTGGCCATTTTCAAGAGTGAAGGTAGAAGCGAGTCAGAAAACCAATATGTTTTTGGTTTACAAAATGCTCAATCAAACAAAGTTGCTTTAAACATATTTAATTTATTAGAAATGGTAACACCGTGTTGTAATTTTGCTTGGAAACCAGTTGAAGTTAGAATAACTTTTGTAAGGATAGATAGAAGTCGAGATTGATAAAGCCGATGTTAGGCTATTTGTGGTTAACCAACCTTTTGCTTGCCCTTTGGTGAAGGGGATGGCTGCTGCCTCTTCCCCTAGCTTTTGGGAACAACAGCAGAAGAAAAAGTCCCCCCTCCCCCCCTGTTTGTTTAGCGAAAACTTCCTTTTATAGTAAAATAACCTATTGTAGCTTATTTTGTGTTGTAATTTGATTGGTTTTTAGGCAAATTTGTGTTGAAATCTGATTGGCCTCGAGCATAAGTTGGTGGACTTTTCTGATTGGTAGTTGAGGGGGTTGGACCGGTCTAGTTCGGCTGAGTTGGGCTTGGTCCGAGTCTGGTTGGGCTTGGCTTATGGGCTTAAGGTTTTGATTGTGAGTTGACCTGGGTGTGGGCTTAAACTTGAGCTTGGCATTTAAATTGGGCTTAGGCTGTGGCCTGAAATTCATTTATTGAATCGTAATTGGTGTTGTGTAAAAGCAATTAGCGGTGTAATTAATGACAAATATTATGCATTGTAATCAAAATTTTAGTTGTTTAGCATTGTATTTATTTTAATGAGATTGTTATGAATAACATTTTATTATTTTGAAATTGCGATCCATTTCTCACAAGAATGTGTTAAGAATCAATTAACTCGCGTGACACCCAACATCGACCTTAAGCCTAATTCATTTAAACACATCATTTCGTCACTAATTGATTGTATCAATTGAGATTAGCTATTGATAATCTAATTGACTTATGGCAGACAAGCCCCAACCCAAGCACTAAGCACTATAATTCGTTTTAGCTAGAAATTTGCTATTGCAAATCCCAAACAAAAATTAAATTTTATTTAGTTAAATATGTTTTAACCCGGACAAAAAGTGGTGTCTACACTCCCGACAAATTCACTTGCATTGTCTTCATGTTTGAGCGTATGTAGAGAACTCTTTGCTCGATTTTGATCGTGAAGAACAGTAGGATTCGCTTCCATTTGATCGAGGTGAGAGATTCCTGTGGCTGGAGGGAATGTATTGGATGCATTAGGCTGGGTCAAATTGCTCCCCGTAGCTACACCCTTTACGCCCTCTCCCCTGCTCTGCTTCGCCGAAGAAGTTTGAAACTCGGCAGGTCTTGACATCGAAGAGATTCGCATTGTTTCAATCTGATCCGGGGCTCCTATTTGCTTCTACATCCTTCTTTCCAGCTCTAGCAGCGTCGGCGTCCACCGATTTCCTTCCCTCGTCCTCGGAAGGGCTGCTGAAGTGGGGCTCTATTTTTGCTGGGGGTAAACAGGGGTCGTGGCCAGCTGCTGGTTCTGGTGCTGGGACTTCCCTTTGGAGCTTTCGAAAGCTTAGTAAATTGAAGCCAATACGTCGCTGCACCCATAACTGAGCTCGATATTCTTTCCCCATGTTTCGATTCTCCTACATCCACTTCTGATCATTGTAAACGTCATCCAGCGAAAGGGGCACCAGAACAATCTTGTTGCCGTGATGCTCAACCTTGTAGCTATTGGTTCGACCATCATGTGTGACATTACGATCGAATTGCCAAGGTCGACCCAGTATTAGGTGAACATAATTCACTGAAACAACATCACAAATTACCTCGTCTTCGTAGCTGCCGAGTTGAACACGAACCACAACTTGCTTCATCACATTGATCGACTTCTGTTCATTGATCCAACTGAGTTGGTAAGGCTCAGGATGCCTTTGCATCATCAATTCGAGCTTCTGAACGGCTTCTAGGTTTATGATGTTTGAGTAACAGCCACCATTGATCACGAGCAACACCAATTTACCATCGATGAAGCATCGATTGTGAAATAAGTTATCCCGGTGTTCATCAGACTCTCTATACTTGACGACGATGGCTGAAGGCTTTTCTTTGCCTCAAACTTGTGCCTACTTCTCCTCTATACTGCCCTCCAACAACGCCTTCTTTTGGATTGAAATTGTCATTGCCTCAAAAACAATAAAACAGAAACATCAACGACACAAAACAGGGTCGCCCTGTTTTCCCAGCAAGTGCAGAATTGATTTTGCACAACCTCAACCCACTCAAATTACATCCATTTTGCCCTTGTGTAGAACCGGCCACTGATACCACTTGGTACGACCTTGGGGGGGGGGGGTGTATGTTATCAAAGTAACGCAACAAACAATCAATCCGAAGATTGACTGAACTCGAATCAAGAACAACACGTTCTTAATACAAAATTTGGATAAAACGGAACCAACGTACGATTCCACACCTGGGGAACGCTCGATTGGTATAGAATGGTATTTGCTCGACCACGATTGAAGTGACTATTCAATCGTACACAAGCTCAGCAAGTCTGGAATCCACCAAACCCAAAACAAGTCGCAACTTGTAAAAATCAAACGTTTTCGATTTCTATTCAACAAAGTCTTAGTTATTACAATGAAAATAGAAGGCTATTTATAGCCAAGAAAATCTAATACAAACCTAAATGAACAAGGAAAAAAATAAGGTAAAATTATACTCTAAAAAGGTTACAAAATTCGGACCCAAACTTCCTTGAAGCACAAGTAAGCTGCCAGCAAATAGTCCAAAGGCAACTTTCGTACTAACTTCGCGCCTTTCGTTCGAGGCCTTCCATATCTCCAATCTTTCATCCAGTTCCTTCCCTTTGTATATAAACATACCTAGTTTCATGTTGTGGAAGCCTTTGGACTTGAATAAGATCCATACTCCTCGAAATGAGCTGCAAAGTAGGCTTCACAAACACATAATTATACTTGGAAAGATTCTGGCAGTTTTCTTGTTTTGAGATAGCAACTTTGAAGCCTTGGAAAACAACCTTAATGACTTCTTCTGGAGCAACCAAGAATACCGGTGTGTAGATAAACACTCCATCTTCAGCACAAGCCTTTAATATTTAATTTTTATCAATCCAATAATGAGAACCATGCCTCCAAAGTAGGCATC